CCCTCCCCTTCCCATGCCCCCCTTCCCCCCTGGGCCCAGCCAAACTCTTTGTGTTTCTCAAGCACCCAACAAGTACCAGGCATCAGGTTTCCCCCTCAACTAATAGGCAAAAAATTCCATAGGTGAGAAGGAACAAAAGGAAGCACACGCAACCCCCCAGCATTATCCAGGTACATTTCCAGCAGCTCCAAGGGGAAAGGGCACAAAGTAAAATTAACTGCAGGGACTCCCACCCTCTACTTCTCCACCTTTTATCCTGAGCAGAGAGGGAGACTTTCTGTGGAAAGAAAGGAAACTTGGAGGACAAGACTAGGATGCAAAACAACTTTATTGACTCTAAGCAAGAAAAGGACATGGCTCACAAAGAGCGCCATTAGCAGCCAGTAAGATGCAGTGGAGTTCCTACAGGGGGTGCACCTGCCTGCCCTTCAGAGGAAGGCAGGGCAACATGTCCCCACTAGGCTGGTTTGGGAAGACATGGGACAGAAAATAGAGGACAAAGAAAAGTAGAAGGGAATAATGCGTTGAAGCTGTAAATGTAAATGAAGCTGTAAATGTCCCAAAGCTCTATCTCTGCACAAAACCATGTTCAGAGAACTTGGAGGTTCTTGCCCGAGGATTTGCCAGCAGATTTAGCAGGGACGACATCTGCTGCCACCATAGCAGTTGGTGATGCAGGAGAGGTCAAAGCCTCCAGAGCTGATGGGCACTCCATCACAGCTGAGGATGCTGCCAACAGCAGCAGAGGTGGAGGATCCCACCACGGTGTTCTGTGGGAAGGAGCTGAGGATGGGGCCGGGCAGGGTCACCACCACGGCCGAGGGCTGGATGGCCACGTGGGAATCCTGGCACTGCCTGACACAGCACTCATTGCAGCTGCTGCCCAGCGGGCAGGGTCCACAGGGCTGGCAGCAAGGGTCGCAGGGCTTGCAGCAGGACATGGCTCGGGGTCACAGGTGCACCTGGCACAGAGGGCAGGCAGAAGGAGAAAGTGGGGACACATGAGGAGCAGCACTGCACCCAAACACCCTGCAGCCAAGGCAGCTCCTGGCCCACATTGCAGTGCCCAGCTCAAAGCCCAGGAGCCACCTCAGCCAAGTGCCAGCCTCTCACTGTCTGCACAAGACCTTCCCTCCCCTGCCCTCTCCCAGCAGAAGCAGCTCCCAGCCCTGTGCTCCCAAATCCCGTCTCAGCTGTGACCTACAGTCAGGAAAGAGCTGCTCTTGAAGCAGCAGGAGCAGGATCTTCACACTCACCTGAGGATTCCTGAGGAGAAGGAGGTGAGAGAAGTGGTTGAGAGAGCAGAGACTTGGGCTGCCTTTTATAGCAGTCCTGCCCTGCCTCAGGCCCAGAGGCACCTTTGTGGAAGGCATAATTTTCTGACCAGCTCATGTCAAATGTGCACCATCCCAGCTAATGGTGGGGGCTGTGTCCTTTTCATTTTCTGGCACATGCCACATGCTTTTCTACATGAATTCTTCTGTAAGTGCTGAGATTAGTGGTTCAAGAATTTCCGGGATAATAAAAACATCGGGACAGGCAGAATACTCAAGTCCAGGACTGGTGGCATCTCATGCAGGCACGTAATGTAAAGCTGGGTCATTTCTGTGTGTTTGCTCATGGAAAAGCCATAGTGGCAAAGTAGTATTCTCCTATCCATGCCAACCTTGAAGGACTGCAACCTATAGGAAAGGCTCATCCTGGAAAAGAGAAAAATATGAGGAGGCTGAAAAGAACAGTTCTGCACTGACCAAAACTCCCCCATTCCGCTCCCCACAGTGCCATGTAGGGCAGAAGAAATAGAAGATTCATGAATGAAGGATGGAAGTTGAATCTTTTTGAAAGAAGTGTGGATGAACTAAATTATAGGATCAAAAAATCATAGAATGCTAATTGGGAAGGGACCCTAAGGACCATCTAGTCCAAACACCCCCTGCCACGTGCAAGGACACTGAAGTTAATTTAAGGGTTGTTTCTGGGGAGAGGGGATTTTGGTTTTTTTCTCTTTTGCTCTTTCTCAAGAACTTATTTTTTCATTGTCAATGTCTTAAACAAATGTTCCCCAACTCAGCTCTATTTTGTTCTTTTCCCAACCCTCCATCCCTCACTGACCCTCTCTCCTGGCCAATCTACTCTGTATGTTTCCCAGACAGGTCTTTCGGAAGATCTCAACTGTCTTTGTAGTCCCAAATTTGTGAGGTTCAAGCACTAAAGGGTGTTCCCTGTGAGCTCCACACTTCAGGACAGGTGGGAGAGAGGGACAGAAGCCAAGTAGAGTTCTCCTGTGATAGCATCTAGTCAGGGAACCCTTTGGTGCAAGGCTGAGCTCTGTGGGAAGGGGCCTCAGTTCTCCCCTGGCAACCCACTTTTCCCCACCCACCCAGAGATGGGAAAAAGATCCTTTTGCTGTGAAGGGCTGGGGTTATTGCCTAAGGGAAGAGGAAATGGGGGAGGAGAGAGCTTCTGCCATGGAAGAGTCCCAGGATGGGATTGCATTGGCAGTGACCTGCAAAGAGAGAGCAAGCATTGTTCTGACTGGTGCTCTGTTTCCAGTACCATGGCCAGAACTGGTGGTGGCTTGTCTGTGTCATCTTGCCAGCCCCTATGAATAATCTTTCCTCTCCCAGAGGTGCTCTGTGTGCTGAGAGTTGGAAATGTGCTGTCTGCAAGATGCCTCAGCCCTGAAAATGTTTGCTGCCCCTACACTCCATCCCCAACTCTTTTCCACAGATGGAACTGCTCTTCCTCATCCCTGGTTCTCTTCTATTTCCTCCATGTTTAAGCAGCACAGTGGGATACAGAAGGAGGGGTTCCAGTCAGAACACAACAGTTATTTTTTAGGCAAAGATCAACTTTAACAGGCCTGATCATGAAAAAGCAGCAGAATTTCAGCAGTTAGCCTAAAAAAAAAAGTCACACCTTCCTGCCTTTCCAGACACAGTTGCTAGGCATGCAATTTTTGGCAGGGTATGGAGGCCCTGGTGCTCAAACATGAAAGGAATTTAACTCAAAGATGTTTGACTTCCCCCATACCACACAGAAAGTCTGTTCTGCATCTCACAACAGAGCACCACCCAGGCCCCTATCCCTTCAGTCCAGCACCCATTTGCTGAGAGATGAAACCACTTCCTCACTCAGTACCAGGCAGATGAGCTGTACAAGTGCATCTGGCATTGGTCTGGAACATGTGTCCCATCCCAGTCACCAGCAAAGCTCCAGCATAAGAGGATCAGTTCAGGGACTTCAATTCACTGGTCTCCCTGGAACAACACAAAAATATGTGCACTCATGTAAGGACAGTAAAAATTCAGCAGCAGTAGACTCTGCTGACACAGCATGGCCCCTCACATGGCAGTCCTTGGGTAAGAAGCACAAAAGTGGTGCCCATTTCCTGGCAACTTTGCTACAAACAAACCCACAGGAATGACACATGTTCACAACAGCTGATCACATGGAACGCCAACAGCCCTTGATCTGAGCATTCTGCAGGTGCTGATGTGTTTATGTCCCGGAAATCCTTGGGCTTGTTCTTCCAGCACTTACAAAAGCCCTGAAGGGGGAGAGAATATGGCATGTGCCAGGAAATGAAGAGGCCGCAGTGCAGGAAACCAGGACACAGCCCCTACCATTAGCTGGGATGGTGCACATTTGACATGAGCTGGTCAGAAAATTATGCCTTCCACAAAGGTGCCTCTGGGCCTGAGGCAGGGCAGGACTGCTATAAAAGGCAGCCCAAGTCTCTGCTCTCTCATCCACTTCTCTCACCTCCTTCTCCTCAGGAATCCTCAGGTGAGTGCGAAGATCCTGCTCCTGCTGCTTCAAGAGCAGTTCTTTCCTGGCTGTAGGTCTCAGCTGAGACGGGATTTGGGAGCACAGGGCTGGGAGCTGCTTCTGCTGGGAGAGGGCAAGGGAGACAAGGTCTTGTGCAGACAGAGAGAGGCTGGCACTTGGCTGAGGTGGCTCCTGGGCTTTGAGCTGGGCACTGCAATGTGGGCCAGGAGCTGCCTTGGCTGCAGGGTGTTTGGGTGCAGTGCTGCTCCTCATGTGTCCCCACTTTCTCCTTCTGCCTGCCCTCTGCGCCAGGTGCACCTGTGACCCCGAGCCATGTCCTGCTGCAAGCCCTGCGACCCTTGCTGCCAGCCCTGCGGCCCCTGCCCGCTGGGCAGCAGCTGCAATGAGTGCTGTGTCAGGCAGTGCCAGGATTCCCACGTGGCCATCCAGCCCTCGGCCGTGGTGGTGACCCTGCCCGGCCCCATCCTCAGCTCCTTCCCTCAGAACACCGCCGTGGGATCCTCCACCTCCGCTGCTGTTGGCAACATCCTCAGCTGTGGCGGAGTGCCCATCAACTCTGGGGGCTTTGACATCTCCTGCATCACCAACTGCTATGGTGGCAGCAGATGTCGTCCCTGCTAAAGATGCTGGCAACATCCTTGGGCATGAACTTCCAAGATCTTTGAACATGGTTCTGTGCAGAGTTAGAGCTTTGGACCATTGTATTTAGAGCTCCAGGCTTCTCTTTGCTTCTTTTACCCTCCTCTCTCTTATACTTACTGTCTGTGTCTTCCCAGACCAGCCTAGGGGGATGTTTTGCCCTCCCTCTTTCTGCAATGCAGGCAGATGCACCCTCTGCAGGAACTCCACTACATCTCAGTGGCTGCTCCTCTTGGCCTCTGTGAGCCATGTCCTTTTCCACTTTACACTCAATAAAGTTGGTTTGCATCCAAGCCTTGTCCTCCATATCTTCTTTTTTTTTCCATGGATAGTCTTCCATTATGCTCAGGGTAAAAGGTGGAGAGGCAGAGTGTGGGACTCCGTGTAGTGGATTTTACTTTGTGCATTTTCTTTTGGAGCTGCTGAAGAACATCCCTGGCTACTCCACAGACAATGGCAAACAGGAAAAAGATGGCTCCAAAGGGAGGCAGGAATGAGGAAAGGAAACAGCAGTGTCTGGGAACAGCTCACAGCCTCATCTCTTCCTTCTCCGCCCCTGTGTTACCCACTCCAGGGCCCATGAACAGCACATGTGGTCAAAGGCAGATGAGACAGGTACCTCACAGAGTCCTTTAGCATGTGGCAAGATCCAGATGCTGTCCAAACATGCAGGGCTGAGGTGATGCAGAAGCTGGGATCAGCATTTGCCAATCAAGTTGAGCAGACTGAGGGGTCACACTTAAGGTTAAGGTGAAGGAAACACTCAAGATTCCTAAATGCTCAAGGTCAAAAGGAATGGCAGAAGTCAGATGGTCCATGAACAATCAGAAAGTTTTATTAGTAAAATTAGTAAAGTTTTATTAGTAAATTACACACTTAGTGTGGAGATTGGTATGTTAGATTAGTCCCAGACCTACTATATAAACAATGGCAGTGTGTTTTGGATTTAGAAGTTTGGTGAAAGGGAAGAGAGAAATTAAAGAGGTGGAGATGAATTAATGGGGGAAAAAGAAAGAGAGGTAAAGAGAGAGGGAAAGAGAGAGAAAAAGAGATCACTAGAGAGAAAAAGAGATCACTGGCCCTTGTTCCAGCTTCCATCCAGCTGATAAAATGTCAGTTCCAGTTTCAATGTTGATCCAGTGGGTGAGATCTCAGTCCTGGTTTCAGTGTTGATCCAGCTGCTGGAGTGTCAATCCTGGTTTCAGCATCCATCCAGCTGTGCAGTCCAGTCCATTGGATGTCCAAGGTCATAAGGTGTGAAGAGCCAATTTAATTTTGATTTCTGTCTCAATACTGGTTGTCAGAGGCATTGTTGTTCCGATTGGGAACGGCTATAAAGAACGACAAGGACTCTCAAGGGAGTTACAACACAAGAATTCTCTGGTTTATTACTTCAGGCCTGTTTTTATAGACTGGTACGTGGAAGGTACAGAAAAGAATCTCCTATTGGTTAACAAAGTGCTACATCACCATCATTGGTCAGGGGGGCTCATCACCCCCCTGACTTCTTCCTGCAAGGAAAACAAAGACTGCAAAACAACACCTGCAAGGCTGTTTAGTGTCCCTGAGGATTGTTTTAATTCCTTCTCATATTTTTCCCAGGCTACTTTCTCAGGCAAGCCTGAGGAGCTATGCAGCCTGTAATTTGTACAGGCACTGTGGTTTAGTATTTAGCATCCACAGAGGCATGTTGGGGAGGCGCTGCACATGTGACACTTTCAGGAGTCAGCTAAAAGATGGGAGAGAGCTTTGTCTCTGGGGAGACTTTGCCTGGCAACCAGTTCATGTCTCACATGGGAGAGGCATTCAGCGGGGGAACACCAAAGACATTGTACCCTCCAAACAGGTTCTCCAATCAGATGGAAAAAAGTCTCCACCAAGAGACTGCCACCAAATATTTTACTGGGTCAATGGTCTCCTGTCAGCAGGGAGACTTTGGGAGGATCTAGGGGGCATAAAAGTAATTGCATCGCAAGCTCTGGAGCTCTTAGGGCTTTTTGG